TTGTCAAAGCCCTGGGACTGTATGATGAGTTATGATTCAAGAAAGGGGGACACAATGGATCTGTAAGGTCGAAGTGATTAACCCCCCTCCCACTCATTCTAAATTCATTCTAAATTCTAAATCCACCAAGTGCGTTGGGTGGGCTAGGAGAAGTGCTTGTCTTGTCTCGTTGTCACGTAAGCCGTCGGAGAATGCCTGTACTGCCAACCGCTCCATTACATTCTCGGGCGTAGCAGGGTACGCAAGGCGAACGAGGCGGGCTACGTCGGCTTCAAACTCCTGCAGAGACTCATTTGACTTTTGAATGCGATTTTTTAGCTGGGAATGATAGACATGTTCCAAATGAGCTTGGCTAAAATTATTTCTAAATGTCGTACCAATTGCCTGATAATCTCCCTGTTCCGATGGTGACAGTGTCTGCAGGATATCAGTCGCATCTCTCGCAGTGCGACAGTCAAAGCGGTAGCCTTTTCAGCGATTGTCCATCCGTTCGCTCGCAGCGGCCTCAAACTGGCAAAAAAATAATTGGCCCAAGCGGTTTTTCCGTCAAACTGTGGAGGTTTTATAACTGATTTTGAGCATACCTATTTTCGACTAGTTTCGGTCCCTCCGATGTTTCTTCTTTTGACATTTTGGTGAATTTGACTTCGCTATTTCTTCTTTTAAAATTTCGATTTTTCTGTTAACATCGTCCTCAATCTGTGCTATTTTGTCTTGTGTATCTATTATCTTTTCTTTCTAATTCCTTGGAGTTTTCTGTTATCTTGTTGTATAAACTTTGTTCTAAATTCAATATTTTATTATTGAAGCTGGCCTGTATGTCTTTAGAATTTTCTGAGATCTTATCTTCTAAATTAACTTCCAAGTCGAGTTATTTTACTATTCAAATTGTTCAAGTTATCGTCTAATCCTTTGTAAGGACGAGTCAAGGTCACCTTCCAGCTCAAAGCAAAATGTGTCAGGATCCTCACCTTCCCTCAATCAAAACGTCTCTCAGTCTGGCTCGTAAAAATGCTTTTCTTTCCATCTGTTTCTGCATTCCCTCTCTTCCAGTACACGCATTTTAATTCCGACACTTTCAAGTCTTTCAACAATTTTTCGGAGCCATTGTCTGTCTTTTTATTTTCCTAGTCTATCACACACGCCACACTTGACACCAATTGTTACGTTTTTCGTCGGTTCCGTGTAGATAGAAAGTCACAATTTATTTAAACACTATTTATTTAACACTAATTAACAAAAACAATAACGATAAAAGACTTATAGAACTATTTACAAACGATTTATAACTAAGAATTTATTTTGAATTTTAGCGCGTCAACTGCACTGGTATAGGCCACTGCCGCCGGCTTTTATACCGACAGGTAAAAGAAATCAAGAATAGTCCAAAGATCGTTAGGCGCATAGAGAAGGTTTTCGAATGTTCTCGTATGTACTAGTCCATTCTAGTGGGTCTCGATTATTCTCGAACGAATGAATCATTGCGGTGTCTATGCGATGTTAAGGTCATCCGAGGGCGGGCCATATTGTGAGGTTAGGTCGAGTCCACACCGGCTCGCAACACAAGCATACCTATTTTACAAAAATATGATTTGAGTGAAAATATAAAATAGGAAATCTGATATGAAGCTTTATCTAAACACAGGGTTGACTGTAGATAAACAATATTTTACGTTATTAATTAAGAAAAATTATAAAATACACAATATATCTCACAGCAGTTCCAAAAAAGCAAAGTAAGAAATGAAACATAATTTATAGCATAAAACTCAGTATTTTTTTAAATTTTTAAAGTCAACTGGCTATTATCGTTTAATCTTATCTATCAATCCTATCAAATTTAATGTTTATTATTATTAAACTTATTCATTAGTTCCAAAAAGCAAAGTAAGAAATGAAACATAATTTATAGCATAAAATCAGTATTTTTTTAAATTTTTGTCAACTGGCCATTGTTTAATCTATCTATCAATCTATCAAATTTAATGTTTATTATTAAACTTATCTCAGACTCTCTATATGAGGTAAAACTCTAAGATAAAAAACTCTAAAAACCAAGAGTGATTTTAAAACAAATTTGAAATGAATTTAGAAATGAAATATGAACAGTATTTACTCACCTGTAATACAGATGCTTTTTGTTTAATTAAATATGTTTCAAAATATTATCCAGCAGGTACAAAATACACATTACACATCACGTAAACACAACACATAAAACTCATAAAATAATAGTTTGTAATCCAAATATTCAAAAATACTGTTTCGTTTCTTCGTGAGGGACGAAAAAATTGATTTTTTTAATTATTTAGATATGCATTAAGGTATATTTCAACTCAAAAGCTTATAAATAATTATTTTTTAAGACATAACCTAAACGAAACGAAATCAGAAGTCGAGAAAGAAAAACAAAACTGCCGAATTTAGAAACGAATATGACTTTTTTTCCTTTTTTCTTGTCACAGTTGAAACAAACAAGGATAAAGCTATTTTCGTAAAACATGCGTGAAACGTGCTAATAAGTAGCCCAATAGATGTGACCTCGCGCCCTTCCATTTTTGAACGATGGGCGGGTTTAACAGGGTTTAACGGATTCCCCTCAAAGAAAATCGTAGGGGAATACAAAAATGCAAAACGGGCAAGGCGCCATCTAGAAGATAGGATTTTACTAAGCCCTCATTGTATATCTATTTATACATAATCAAGGCTAATACCTATAAGGGTCCATTAAGCAAAAGTTGACTTCCAGCTTGATTTTCAGTAAAAATAAAATTGATAAACAATAGAATTTTGCGAAGTAACATATAAAATATAATGTAGAAATGTGACAAAAATATGGTATTTTTGTAATATCATTGTTTATAGCACGATGAATCTATAGAGAAACTTATGATGTTTATACTTAATTTATAAGACTCATTTAATCACGAGATTTAGATTTATTATACCCCCTACTAATTGTTTTCTCTTTCGACTTAAAACTGTATTTAAAAATAAAAGATTTATATGTTATATGCTATTGATTTTTGGATCAGTCACCTTGTGACTAATCAATAAAAATAAAAATAACAACGAAAACATGGTATTACCCTTGATTATGATTTTATATAATGAATTATATATATTATTTTATATATGTATCCAGCTCGGAGATTTATAATAAAAATATTTTCAATATGGCGGCACTTCCGGAAATACCGGAAGTTGACAGCAACGTTGTGTTATTTTAAATGGTTGCCCTTATTTTTTATTATTTACTTAAATTCTCTGTAAAATTTTATGAATTTGATATTAAACACTCTAGACCTAACATTAACCGTTTTTGATAAAAAAAATATTTATAATTTTTGGACGAAAAAAACTGCCTATAAAAAATATGTGTATAGACTAAACGTCATATTTAATGATTACCACAGCCACCGTGCCATAAAGAGAAGACATGTGACTATCTATTTCAAAAATGAAAGTGTTCGAATGTCATATAATAATGACCGGGCTCTCATGGAATTGAGCGATTAAAAAATTATCATAAATCATTTTTTTAAATGGAAATACACTTTTTTTATTTCACTAGTGAAAAGGCTTTTCAATTCGTTACTTATTGAGTATACATGTTCCTATACCTAAAATAAATCGTTTTTGAGTTATTTAATATTTAGTTTTAAATCTCATAGTATATTTCTCTCATTTAGTATATTTCTCTTGATTTTAACCAGTAGTATATGACTTTAAATGTCAAGTGGTGTAAAACAATAGATCTGGTCATGTCATATTGTGACGCTTTGAAAAAAGCAGCATCATTTTCGAGCCAACTTTGATCATACGGAATATTATTAATATTAATAATATCAACTATTAGATATCACTAAAGAGCGAAAATACGAGATATATTTTTATAAATACACTTTTTAAACTCTTAAGGCAGGCAGTATTTATACTAATTTGTTTTCTGACAGATGGAAATAAATTGTAAATTCTCGCACCGTTTGACACTCAATGTCAAAGCAAGCTAGATAAAATCAAGAAAAATATACGTTTTCTAACTCAATCTTAAATAACTTAAAAACGATTTATTTCAGGTATAGGAACATGTACAGTTAAAAAGTAACGAATTGAAAAACCGGTTTATTAGTTAAATAAAAAAAGTGGGTTTCCATTTGAAAAAATTATTTATGATAATTTTTTAATCACTCAATTCCATGACAGCTACCACCATTATTATATGACATTTGAACAATTTCATTTTTGAAGTAGATATATAGCCACATGTCTTATCTTTATGTCACAGTGGCCGTGGTAATCACTAAATTTGACTTTTAGGCTATACAAATTTTTTTGACAGGTAGTTTTTTTCGTAAAAAATTTTAAATAATTTTTTTCTCAAAAAACGGTTAATGTTAGATATAGAGTGTTTAACATCAATATTCATAGAATTTTACAGATAATTTAAGTATGTAATAAAAAATGGGAGCACCCATTTAAAATAAGAAAGTTGGAATCAACTTCCGGTATTTTCGGAAGTGCCGCCATATTAAAAATATTTTTAATCGATAGATATCGTTGTAAAACAATGATGTGCAAAAAATCTCCGATCTAGATATTGTGGTTCTCTAGAAACTTCTAATGCACGCTCAGCCTGGGACACCCTGTATATCGTAATTCTTAACAAAAGGACACAACAAATTAAATATATTTTTAATTTAAATGTGATTTTATTAAATATTAATGAAAAATTGTTTTCACGGGGCAATTTGATATTCCAAAAATAGGATGTTTGTAGATTGAAATCCTATCTATATTCCGGAAATACCCATTTTACGACTTGTATTTGACTCTATTTTACATCTTGTATACTTTGGTTCCGCAAATATGTTCTATATAGCGTTTCTCGTTCCTTTTTGTAATATACTATAATCCTGATGGATTATATAGGGATTATGAAAAATTTGGTAGCTATTATCTAGCTATTAATGCGTGATCGCTTTGTCATAAGTATAAAGGTGTAAGACAGGATATTTTCACAAACAAGTTCGTGTCGTTTATAAGTTACTTATAATATAAGCGCGGCATAGAGAACCCTTAATACATTGCTAAAAAATGAGGTTGCTATTGCTTTGGCTTGCTATTTTGGTTCTTGGCGTTACAGCAGAAGACCCACGTACGTATTTAACCAGAAAATCCTTAAAGATCAAATCGAACAAGTCACAGAAAATTGTTTGATTTCGTAAGAGTGTAGTTTTTATTTTAAACTCTAAATTTCTTAATTATTTTCTTCTTCTTTAAAAATTGAAGATATACAAAAAATATCTGCTTGAACTTCTAGAAGACCTAAAGTAGTCTATTAATGTCAATGCCGCCTTAACTTTAATTCACCTTCCATAGGAGATCCGGTTGTTTTTTCACCTTTTGGGCGGTCTTTCTCTCGGTCGTTGCGGAATGTAGAAAAAAAATATAAGTAACCTGTAATTAAATTAAAGATAATAAGTACAAAAAGACTATAATAAAAGATAATACAAAGAGCAGTGGGGAGATTAATTGTTTCTTGTGGCGGCTTGTTCTTCACAGCCCCCACAAGAAAAAAACGTATCTACTATTTATAGTACATAAAGTCTATCCTTGTATATTTCATGCTAGAAATTGCACTATTTAATCGTGTAAACTATATATATAACGTAAAAATATCATCATAAACTCAATTATATACCTACTCATATTTTTTTAACTTGTGCCCCTGAGTCCATTAGGTAGAAAGTAGAATGTTTGACAGGGGGGTTAACCACTGCGACCTTACAGACCTATGGTGTGTCCCCCTTTCTTGAGTTATAATGAGTTATAACTCACCATACAGGCTTAGGGCTTTGACGAAAGCCAGTATCTGAAACGGCTTCACAAAGATTAGTTCTCCATCTCCGATATCAGTCGTACCAAAGTTTATGGCATGAATGGTTGTCGTCTTGGCGCACTTAATGATGAGGTGTTCTTATTGTGTTTCCCCATTGTTAAAAACCCTGTGACAATCCGAAGACTGTTCTTACTTAAGTTAAGGAAAATCTTTAATTTTTGTCGGTAAGTGTTGGAGGATTGCCATCTAGATGGATTCTTTTCAAGTTTTTCAGATTTCACTTTCTGGTGAATGGCACTACCGCGGTTTTGTTGGAAATGATGCTCAGCCCGACAGTCCTGCACCATCTCTCAGTGATGCGGAGTCTTCTTTGGATAATATCACACAGGGTGCCTTCATATTTCCTACGAGCGATCATTCACTATGTCTAGGGTTATCAGTTACCAGATGAAAACTTGTCCATCCCGGGCAAGCCTTTCAAAAATTCCGGATGTCATAATTTTTTAGCGAAGTAGCATTTTTTACATTACTTAGGTTGGTTATTATTTTTAATTTATTTATAAAATAATAGCAAAAAATACATTTATAAGTTTCAAAATTTAAAACTTACAAAGTAAAACAATGTATTTACACTGCTGCATTTATCGACGATTTTGTAAGTAACTAAATTTATTAAAACTAATATATTAATTATTAATTAGCATTACTGAGAAATTTTTAATGAAACATTAAAATCAGGACGCTAATGAAAAATCCGCCCGGACCCAACCGGATATAGTGAAAATCCGGACGTCTGGTAACCCTAACTATATCATCTGCGTACCCTTTGCGGTGTATTCCCGCTGGAGTTAATTTGTTTAGTAGTTCATCGACTATCAAGCACTACAGTAGGGGTTGCGTTGTTTAAACAGCTACAGTTTTGGTACCCATCTGAGCCTCTGCTGTCCATTAAGCTGCGTCCACATTGCTCGCGAGCAGGCCGAACGAACACCTGAAAAACGAAAAACATGGCAAACAGTCGGAGCGATATGTTCGCGGCGTGCGCCACGCTCGCGGTGCTCCACGTGCTTGCGATCTCATAAAATGCCTGTTTTGACTGTTCGGCTCTGTCGCGGTACATGGTACATAAAAGAGACGCTTCGGAACCATGTGAGCATACCTTGAGCATACTTAACGGCGCTGCACGGCGGTTCGAAGCGCTCGAGCTATTTGCGTTGTTTGTTAAGTTTTTAGTTTGGTTTAATTCATAGGATTCGGTATTTACTGCAGTATGATGATACTACTATGATTTTTCTTATTTTATATTTTGTTCAGAATTACAAATATTTGTGTTTTGTTCTTGGATTAATAATATTAAATATACCTTTAATAAAATATAACTCTATATTTATATTGCCTACTTATCTTAATCTGATCCTTGAGAACTTAATTTATATTTTGGTTAGGTTATAAGGTTGGCGTTATTTTTGAAATGCTTTGCTTGGAAACTTTAAATAAATAACCCAATCTGGTATATGTGAGTCTCTATATAGTTACAAAGAATCTTAATGCTATGGCCAATCTTTATTTAACTCTTTCTTTAACCGGAATACACTTCCTAAAAGTTGTATTTTATCTTTCTATACGGGGGACGACTAAGTTAATAAGTCTTTCAAAATCAGTAGCGGACATGCGATAAAAAAGTATTAATAAACATTCTGTCTGTTTGTAAATCTCGTAGATGTTTACTTTCACTGTGCTGGGATCTATTTTTGAAATTATTAGACATCGAATACCGCCTTTTTTCTCTTTGTCTCCTTCTTTTTGCAATAATGATCGCACTAGCAGCCGCTATTAAAAATACTTCGGTCTCATCCATGTCCGAACAGCACGAACGCAAGCACTACATTACAGTGTGGACGCCGTTGCTTGCGAGCCGAAAGATCTTTAGAAACGCGACAAACCGGAAGCGCAAGCAACGCAAGCATAATCAGAATCAAAAGCGCGAGCCGGATCACGGGCAATGTGGTCGCACCTTTAGGTAAAAATTGCACAAACGTTCTTTTAAACGACATTAGCGCGGCAAAGCATTTTTTGGTAGATTCTGCCCTTAACTACAATGAAGAAGAAGGGTACATTAAGTCTACCCTTCTAATTTTCATGCTATAAATGACGAATCATCATTCATTCAATTGTATAAATACTTATTTCTTTCCAGCCTCTTCTTAGCGGTTGAGAGGGCACCTACCACCTACTGTTGTGTCCGTTACAGTCGCGCGCCACTTGTAAAATGGGAGAATGAAATTGTTACAACCTGATCTAGAAATACCACGGTATACATCCGTGAGAAATACCTATGAAATTTCATACAATGATTCTTGGGGTGACAGCTGTGAAAAACACATTTTTTGGCGAAAATCAGCCTTTTATTAGGGAGTAAAATAGGAAGCTTTTATTAGGGAGTAAAATATCAAAAAGTCACAAGTAAGACGTGTACAAAAAATGGTTTATTTTTTTTATTAAATACTGTATAGTAATCCCGAGGATACATCGTTAGAGATAGGTAGGTCCGGATCAGTGACATACATAGAGATTCTGGATTTCCCCGTACTTTTGGCCATTGGGCCACTCGCCTTAATAGCTTAATGTTTAACCGCGAGGGTCCCTTTAATGTAGAGGCACATTAAAGGGACCCTCGCAACCCCGGGGAGTTTAGCGAACGTTTAGATGCCTTGGGCGAGTACCTAATATTAATATTAAGCGCTCGAATTTTCAGGGACTTTTTTTTAGCTATTTCAGTTTCTAGTTTTTTAGTTAACTATAGTCAGCGTCTAACATATCATAATACTATTTCCTGATTTTATATCAGCTTTTTAAGTTCTTAACAAACAAAAAATACCTTTTGTTGGTTAATACAGTTAATACATATAAAATTATCAATTAATCCATTATATTACGCTTATTTGTTAACTTTTTATCAAATTCTTATGCTTTCTTAAGGCATTAATGTATAAATTCGCTTTATAAATTTATGATCAGATGTTAAGTTGTTATCTCCTGCTATAAAATGGTATTCTAGGAACTAACATCAAATCTCGATTAGATAAACAAAATTTATAATCTTTTCCTGATCCGTATACTTTGTTTGTTTAAAATTGTAAAAAACAATGCCAAATCTCCGAAAAAAAATATTAAAATAGTGAACTGTTTTAGGAACTGGTATCGGAGATTAGAGACTGAGCATTACACAACCACTTTAAAATTGTCTAATTACACTGCAATTAGAATTAGTTAAATATATCCTATAATAAATAAATATTAAAAAATATTTAGTCCAACTCGGTCTTTAGTTTGCTGCCTTATTTTTATTACTACTAAAAAGAAAAATGAAATAAATGTATGTAATATATTTTGGAAGATAGAAGATTAATTTAAAACCGATTAGTAATATTTATTTAGTAAGTTATTTTTAAACCCCTAAATCATATAACAAAATTGAACAATTAAAAATTAAGAAAATAATTGAAATAATGAGAGGATGGGTAAAAATACCAGTGACAATTAGTTTCGTATTAAAATTTCGTTAGAATTGCTTGATAAAACGATAAAAATGTTTTAAATCTCAAGAGATCATCTCGACTGACAGGTTAAGTTAACTATTAATTATTTTATTTATCTTGGTCTATTTGACATTAAGGCTATTTTTTTAATAGTAAAATAAAGAATTTATATCACATAACAACTAATTTATATTATAATATATATTAATATCTACTCTTCTAGTCTGTGTTGTCTAATGGGACTTATTCTTCGTGTCGAAGTTTTATTTTTTTATTTGTTTCAGACTTTTTTAATAAAAGTCGTAGAAATTAATTATCAGTAGCATATTTCTCAAATTAACAGACCCAACTTTTCCAACGCGTTTTTGTCAATCTGCGCCCTTTCTGTCACAACGACGGTGTAGTTACTCTTTAGGAAGCTATATATTGTTTTTATATGAACGATTAGTGCTCTACAACACTACATAGGTATATTAAGTAGTACAAATTAAGTGTGAATATTTTCTATATTTGTCCATATTTTCAAACAAAAATATCGATATATGTAGATATCGATACTTTTTTTTGAAAACACATTTTTTGCATTTCTAATTGTAAATCACTTTTAACCCGTTTTTTTTTCTATTTAGCACCCTGTACAAATGGACAAATTTATTACCCATCTGTAGACTGTTCTAAATTTTGGCAATGCTCGAATGGAGTTGCTTACTTGATGCCCTGTGCTCCTGGCACTGAATGGAGTCAGAGCTTGCTTGTTTGTACACATTCGTGGCAGTCTGATTGTGATGGAAATGGCTGGCAAACCACTACTACTACCACCACAACTACAAAACCAACCACTACAACTACCAAGCCAACTACAACTACTCCTACTACTACAACAACGCCTACAACTACAACTACAACTACACCTACAACCACAACGACACCTACAACTACACCTACAACCACAACTACACCTACAACCACAACCACACCGACTACCACAACTACACCTACAACCACAACGACACCTACAACTACAACTACACCTACAACTACACCTATAACCACAACCACACCGACTACCACCACTACACCAACAACTACTACACCCTCTACTACTACTACTACTCCCAAAGCTACAACTGCTTCTACAACCACTAGCACCACTCCTAAAACTACAACTTCAGCTCTCATTCCAAATACAACTACATCAACTCCAACCACAACTACATCAGTACCTCTTCCTCCAGGAACATGCCCTCCAGTTGACGGTCCTGACTCCGTATACTTCCCTGACTCAGACTGCACCAAATTCTGGCAATGTTCTAACGGAGTTGCCTATCAGTTTACCTGCCCAGCAAACTTGCACTTCAATCCTGTTTTAAATGTATGCGATTGGCCGCAAAATGCTGGTTGCGTTTCTGGAGAAGGTAGTTCTACGTCTACATCTACTGAAGCCTCTACAACTACCGTGGAAACAAGTACAAGGGTTGAAAATTCTACTGTCACAGATATATCAACTACGTCAGAGGACGTACAAACCTCAACTGTTGAGGATACAATTACGACTACCGTAGCTGCTGAAAACACTACAGCCGCGGAAACATCGACAGCATCCGTTGAAACTACCGCAGAGGAAGTAGAAACTACAACAGAAGAGGAAACAACTACAGAAGCTGCGGAAACAACAACAGTAGCTGCGGTAACAACAACAGTAGCTGTGGAAACAACTGCAGCTGCTGAAACATCGACAGTGGAAGAAGAAACTACTACAGAAGTGGATTCAACTACCTCGGCTTCTACAACTGCGGAACCCGAACAAACAACTGAAGATATAGACAATACTACAGCAGCTCAAACTACAACTGAAGAGATCACGAGTACAGTACCATCAACAACAGCAAACTCTTCACAACCTGATGCTGTTTCTACCCCAGGTAAAATGTTTATTGTTATCTTTTTCTGCAGATGATTGAGGACCCCTAAATATACGTTTTATTTATTTATAGCTCCTGGAACGTGTCCCGCCGTAGATGGTCCAGATTCTGTCTACTTCCCTGATGCAGACTGCACTAAATTTTGGCAATGTTCGAATGGCGTACCTTACCAACATACTTGCCCTGCTGGTCTATACTTCAACCCAGTATTAAACGTTTGTGATTGGCCTGAAAATGCTGGATGCAATTCTGGACCCGTTGATCCTGGTATAACATATATCTACACTTTTGTTTGATTGAAGCTACAAAAAATTGACTTTATTACAGATAATAATGTTACGACTACGAGCATTGCTGAAACTACTACTGTGAGTTTAGAAACTACCACAGATGATGAGAAGACTACCACTGAGGACGAAGGAACTACAGCTGCTGAAGTGGAAACTACTACAGCTGAAACAGTTGAATCCACAACTGTTGCTGACGAAACAACTACAATTGAAGATGAATCAACCACAGTTGTAGAGGAATCTACTACTGCTGAAGTTGAGACTACTACGCTAGAGGAAGCAAGCACCACTTCTGATAGTGATACTACAACAAGTGCTGAAGAAAATACTACAGACTCTGACGAAACTACTACATTTGAAGATGAAACAACCACAGTTGTAGAAGAATCTACTACAGTCGAAGTTGAGACTACTACTCTAGAAGAGGCAAGCACTAAAGCTGAAGCTGAGACTACAGCAGTTGAAGATGATGAAACAACTACTGTAGTTGAAACGACATCTGCGTCACCTGAAGTTACAAGTGAACCACCTGGTAATTTATTCTAAAGAAACACGTTTTGGATCTAGGAAAATTGACCGAAGGAAAATTACCCGACAAGATAGTTGCTCGAAAAGAAATATCACTTAATTACAATTGTCAGAAATAAAAGTCCCCGAAATGTCGACTTTTGGTAAAAGATTGCTTTAATACAGGGACAGGGCATTTAAACACAGTCCATTTAATAAAAACCAAACCGACATATTAAAAAAGGTTCCCAATTTATACGATTATTGCACTTAAATTGTTTATAATAGTCACATTTACAATTAATTGTTTCTTTGCACCCCAGTCTTTTTCATACAAGTAACTGTGCACCCTGTGGAGTATCAGTTTCTGTTTTCTCTTATCACTAATTACCACCAATTCGACTGCCTTTCTACCTGTTTATACTAAAATGATAATCAGAACAGAAATTGACAGAGATGACAATGACAATTAATGCTGATATTTTTTTCGGGCAACTTCCTATGGTTCGGTAAAATATTTTAAGCAATTTTTCATTAGGGCAATTTTCTTTTCAGAGTGATTTGTTTTTGACCAATTATTCTATTTGGCCATTTGTTTTTGGGCAATGTTCCGGATACGGCACTTAAATTAATAAAATTATTGATACAAATGACAATACTTGTGTCAATACATCTATATTTATAAATAATTTAGTTCCAGGTAAATGTCCAGCTGTAGACGGTCCAGATTCCGTGTACTTCCCCGATCCAGATTGCACCAAATTCTGGCAATGCTCTAATGGCATACCTTACCAACATTCTTGTCCTCCTGGTCTACACTTTAACCCTGTTCTAAACGTTTGCGATTGGCCTCATGACGCTGGATGCAATGCTACGCGTCCTAACGATCCAGTAGAACCAGTAACTTCATCTTCCTCCACACTAACACCTGAAGATGGTTCGACCACAACTGAAGCGTCTGGAGACGATGAAGATTCAACAACTGAAACTACAGAACCTAATACGGAGGCTCCCGAGACTGACGCACCTGAAACTGAAGCGCCCGAAACTGAAGCACCTGATACGGAAGCTCCCGAAACTGAAGCACCTGAAACTGAAGCACCTGATACGGAAGCGCCAGAAACTGAAGCACCTGAAACTGAAGCACCTGATACGGAAGCACCTGAAACTGAGGCTCCTGAAACTGAGGCTCCTGATACCGAAGCTCCTGAGACAGAAGCTCCTGCTACTGAAGCTCCATCTACCGAAGAACCTAGTACTACATCCAATATAACTAGTCCTGTGACAGAGGCTTCGACCACAACTACGGAATCAACACCTACCTATTCTGCCCCAGAAACTAGTACAACCAGTACGGTTTCGACAAGTCCTTCTGCTGATACTTGTGAGCAATGTAAGTGTTTGTGATTTGAATAATTTAATTATTATTTAACACCATTTTTATTAACTTTTTGGCGTTCTATTTTTTAGTAAGCAGCCAGTGTCCAGCAATAGATGGTCCTGATTCAGTCTACATTCCTCTGGCAGATTGCACTAAATTCTGCCAGTGTTCCAATGGCGTTGCTTACCAACACGACTGTCCAGCAAATCTAGAATTCAATCCTGTCTTGAATGTTTGCGATTGGCCTCAAAATGCAGGCTGTACCGGAATTAGCGGTACAACCAGCACTACAACCAGTGAGTATCTTAACAAATAAATTTATACAAATTTATCTATTTAAATATTAATACACTTTTACAAGGACCACGTTATAGTATGGAAGGGATGAGTAATATTCTGAAGAGTTGGAGTACACTAAGCAGCTGGTTTGCGCAACCAATTAAGTCAGAGTAAACTAAAATGAAAGGCAACCATTTTTTTAATGATTTTTAATTTGTTATCCGTTCGTCGCTTGTATATAAAGCTTTTATTATAGCCTGTATATATACATTGTACAGGGTTATTCTCGCGAGTATTGTAGATTTTTATAAATTATAATGGTCGAGTCGAGGAAGGACTACTAGGTTTTTTTTGTGATATGGGGGGTTCCAAATGGATAAAAAATAAGGTTATATTTTTGAAGTGAAACTTCTTTACGCGCGTTGAGAGTAAAAAGTCAAGGCCGTGACACAGAGTCAGGAAAAATGGTAACGATCGGAGATTATGACGGAGCGTCGTAACTCGGGTCCTATGCGAGCTGGGGCTGAAACTCGGAATGTAGATGGGGCTCGAAGGCCAAACCATCTTTTCATGCACTACGAAACCCCATCAACAATGAATCAAATCAAAAAATCGTCCGATTCAAATGAAATTTGGTATGTGGATAGATTGGACCAAGGCCAACTTGATTAACTTGATCGTGTCACTGTGACAGTTAATTTTTACGTAAGAAACGTCAAAAGTTGAGGTAGTCCGATCGTGACCAAATTTGGTAGGCAATTGCTGTCCTCCATTCGCGAACTTCAAGTTCCGGGCTTTACGCCCCTGGGCTACTCGAGAACGGTTTTGAAAGGAGCTGTGCGCGATAGCCTGGTGCCTCCATATGGCACGGAATAGTTCTGGAACTTTATTACTCAATTGAATGGAGCGAGTTGAGTATCGCGTTCTTGAACAGTTCAGAGCTGCACAACTGCGTGAATGGAGGACACTATATGTGAGCGATGGTGCACTCCTACTACTACTAATTTCCTACCCTGCGAAGTTGGATACGACGTTTCGTTTACACCTTCATCAGGGTGGAACTAAGGATTTGATATTAAAGAAAAATGTGGGCCGATTTTGGCATAATTGGGGACGGGCTACAGGATGACGCCTTGGACGTTTCGAAACGACGCCTCTAAATGGACGAAATCATCAGGATTTTTCTCTTAATTATGGGTCGATTGGAACAAAACTAGCCACGTGGATAGAGGTACAGTACGTCTGTCCGTTCTGTAGCTAAGGGGTATCCGTGAGCGGGGAAACGATATTCTCTCGATGTTTTTCGTAAAAAATTAGAGGACGCGTCCCATCAATAAAAATTCGACAAATTTGCATGTAGCCAATAAAATGAGTGGGCGGAGCGATTTGCGGTGACGTACTCGTCAAGTCGACGTATAAAATATATTGCTGTTTATTTAAATGTTTTTTGTCCGCATTCCTTTCATAGACACAGATCCAGCAGACGCACTTTACCCGAATATGAGACGACACTAAAACTCACGAAAACCTCGGAAGCATTCGGTTCCTACACGGAGAGTTCGGTTTTATTCGGCGAGAAGCGCTTTGCGGGAATTTTGAAAATTATGAATAATCGAGAATCGAACAATAATCACAGACAATAATTTTATTATGCGAAATTGCTAACAGTAGTTGACTGTTTTGGTTGTTCATTTTGTTTTTTTATAGTTTTTGACTATTTTTAGAAATATGGCTATATTTAAAAACTGATCTGCATTCATATATTTTTAAAACATACAAATATCATTAAAGTTACGAAATGTAATTTGTCATTATTTGCTCATTTTAAAGAAGGAAGGTGGTTAATGTATTTGGCTGATATTTGGTAATATACAGTGCCGGACTTAGGCCTAGGCCAACTAGGCCCGGGCCTGGGGCGGCAAATTTTTAGGGGCGGCAGATTTTTTTCTGAAATTAGAAATCTAGATAATACTGAATCATTTGAGGAATATGAAAGAAGGGCCATAGAATTGTTCGGTGAGAAAGAATATGCGCCAGATAAAAAGAGAAAAGTTAAACGGAAACGACAATTTGATGAAACCAGTGATAATGAAACTATATTTAACGCTAGGGACGATTTTAGGATAAATGTATTTAATGTTATTATTGATAAATTAATCCTTGAAATTTCCTACAGGAAAAGTGAATGAATGACTTTTCAACCAAATTTGGTTTCTTTAGTGATTTATCTACTTTAAGTATTGACGACATTACCGATAAGTCCAGACATTTAATAACCTGTTATCCAAATGATTTAGATGAGTCAATGCCTAATGAATTAATACATTTTCGTGAATTTATAAAATGCATTAAGTCAGCAAAACATCTGCTAGAGAGCTTCTTAAGTAATTTATAAAAAAACGCCCAAGGCCTGTTTCCAAATACTTTAATAGCATTAAGAATCTTCACATGTACTTTTATTACTAGCTGTTCTGCTGAACGCTCGTTTTCTGCATTGAAACGTATTAAAACTTATTTACGGTCCACTATGGATCCATTATGGAAACAGAACATCTAAATCATTTGGCAGTTTTACATATTGAATCCGACCTTTTAGAAACTATCAATTACAATGAAGTAATTGATAATTTTGCGAACCAAAAAGTACGTAGGAAACCTTTATAAGCATATAAGCAAACCTTATAGTTTTTTTGTTCGTTTGTTGTCATTTTATATGAATATTTTAATATTTATTTTATGTTCTATGTTGATCTGTTCTGTCGGTCTATTCTGTTGTTGGTCCTGTATTCAAATAAATGTTTTTTTATATCCGTAATTTTTTTAATTAAAAAAAATGTTAAGGGGCGGCAATTTTTTTTGGACTGGGGCGGCAACTTCGTTAAGTCCGGCCCTGGTAATATACCTATATTGCCTACATCAAGTGATTTTAGTCAAAGTTGCATTGATTATTATTGCAGATTGCATAATCACTATCTAATTTGATGCATAAGTGAGAGTGAGAACCATAGCTTTACTTAGAGAGAGCTAAAATATCAGTTCTTAAATTGAATCACATTTTCATGGGGAAATAAACGTTTTGGGAAAATTTGTTAGCTTAATTACTGTAACATATTAGAAATAAAAAAACAAATTTATAGTTCTAATTTTATTAGAATGTTGCAGTTTCGATTACGGCCTATAAGAAGAAACTGCAAAATACTTATGGCTGTTCTATGTCAAGAAAATATAATAATTACAACAATACAATACAATAATTTTAACAATAAACAATACCACATTGTACAGGTTAGTAGTAAGTAGTACAAAATAAATATAAAACCCTTAACCAACAGTCAATACATATTTACTTAAGTAAGACCAAAAACAAAATAAATAAATTTACATGTGGTTATTTAAATGTGGTTTTTCATACCACAGTTTATAACTTTTCTTTGTAGCAAAGTCATAGGCAAAGTTATGTGTTTCCATTTCCAATTTTACTTCATGGTGTTTACCTTCAAATGTTGTTGCAATATACTGCAACTTCCAAAAACTATACAGACTACCTTATTTAGAGTACACAGTGGGCAAATAATACGTTTCTTCTTATTATAGTGTTTTTCACAAAATTAAGTGAAACAACACAAATTAAAAATAATCCAGTCTGTAATATTAATTATCAAACTTCTATGAATCGCTGGATCCCCAAAACGCATTCACAAATTGTAAATCTTTATTAAATGCTTTTAGTATTTTTTGTATTATTTAAAAATACAGGAATGCTGTTGAATTTTTTAACTTTGTTTTTAAATAGGGCCATATTTACTCTGATATTTATAAAAGTGCCGTTGTTTACAAAATCCATCAACGGCAAAGTTCAGCCTGGTTCGGCTGAGTTTGACGTAGACCGCGGTTGCGCGGTTCAGCTTCCGAGTATTTTGTCCTTTAGAGAAGGAAAGAGAGACTCTCTTTCCTTGTCTAGGGTATCGTGAGTTTCAGTGTCGTCTGTCTCCGAATATGGAGTCCTGAGACGAACAGACGGACAGACAGACGGACGAAAGTAAAAAGAAGTTTCACTTCAAATATGCGCACATAGTTTTTTTAAATGGAACACCTTATATAATTCGTAGCTCCAGGGATCTTTCGTTGACTCCAACATTCGCAATTTTTAAAAATCATTTAGCAACGATACTCCCGTGTCGAATAGCGTAAATAACCCTGTACAGGCCTATGGGAGAAGAATAGCTTTGTTGAACATTCGAAATTAAATATTTGTGATATTTTTACAGGTCCGAACGCACTGAAAGTCTGATTTAAAGTTCTACCCCTTCCCTCACCCTGACACAACCAGAAAGAAAACACAGATGTGCTTGTAAATAGTTATGTATAGTTACAATTAATAATACTATTACCTATTTTAATATGAATTGTTATGTAGTAAAATTAAATAAAACATTTTAACAAAACTAGTTGATTTTCAATATTAGGGTAGCGCGGGACAATAAGAGCAGCTGCTGGCAACAATTTTCTTTTTCTAAATAGTTCGTGATGTGTAAAATAAAATATAAGTATCAGTTCTCTGTTTTAGATAAACATTACTGGTATGCACTGTAAAGAAAAACTAAAACCTATCATTGGCTCTCATTACCCATAACAGTGGGGAAATTGAAGCCACTTTATTTTACATATTTAAATCTGTTAAGAACATTGTCAAAGAAAATTTGAATTATTTTAGGTAAAACACAAGAGAAAAATACATATGTCTGAAATATTTTAAAATAAAAATTCAAGTTATTTCAGTTGAAACCAAAATTACAAATATGTTTGGAACATCCTAAAACAAAATTTAAATTATTTTAGTTAAAACAAAAGACACAAAATATGTCTGGAATATTCTGAAACAAAATTTAAATTATCTTTTTTAAAATAAAATAAGGAAATATGTTTATAACATTCTAAAATAAAATTGAAACACCATGGGGGAAATGAGAGCCACTCTGGCTTCGATTACCCCGTTTGTTTACATATTTGCAAGTTAAAAATAACAAAATTAAATGCGCTAACAGAAGCAAAACAACTGCACAAATCGAACCTACACTTCAGTAGATTTTGTTTAACACCGCTATTTTGTTTTAAAGCAAAATATAAATACAACTTACACTAATTTTTTAAAACGTGCACACTATAAGAAAGTCCCGTAAACTCGATGCGTTCTCTAATGGTGGGTTCATACAGCCAAATAAAATAAAATAAGAAATAAGGAATTCTTATTAGTGTGCGTTCATACAGTCAAATAAAATAAAATAAGAAATATATATTTGCTCATGCGCAGTACGATGAGGCTGGAAAAAAGTTAACTTTTACGATTGTTTATAGTAATTTTACTATTTATAGTATATTTATTTATTCGTTACCTACTATATTATACATTTTACTTATGTGAAATTATAAAATAAATTAAATCCAAACTGAAAATATTTGTAGGTTAGAATTAAGCGTGCGCAAAGCCGTTTTCACATAAAATAAAACAAGAAGTTAAAAGATAAAGACTTCTTATTTTATTTGTTATTTTATTTGGCTGTATGAACGCATGTACGGTATCCCATATAACCAACTTTCTTATTTTATTTTATTTTATTCTTATTTTATTTTATTTGGCTGTATGAACCCACCATAACAGACTTTGAATCGTACCAAAACAAAGCGGTGGTGGCTTTAGGAAACATTTAATGGGGGATCCCGCGTATCGCAACTGTCAGTGCTCAGATCAGGGCGCATTATTCAAAATTACACAATGGCTCCCAATACCCCGCGGTACCCTATACCGTGTTTTCACCTTTACGAGAAATCAGGGATATACAGGGTGAGTCTTAAAAAAGTGCAAATATACTTATTCAGGGTTGGTAGGTCTCGATAAAAGAAGCATATTTCCACTTTGCCGTTTTTCAAATAAGTTCAAAATAACCGAGTTAATTAAGTTTCAAAATTAAAAAAATGCTTTTTTTTAGATTTTGAGAGCCACCGGATTTTTTCTGCATTTCGTTCCTATAATTTTAATCTACTACCGATGTTGTCACGTTTTTAAGATAATACATTTTTTAACTAATTTAAAAAAAATTAAATAAAAATCAAAATTTCACCTAAATGGTAAAATAATAAAAAACAAGCCACCCAAAGGCACCCATTGCAAAGGCCCCTTTCTTGTTTAATGGCGTTTACGATATAGTAGCACTGTTATCAAAAAAAAAAAGAAAAAACTTACCTCTGATTAAATAGGACATTATGCTAGTATGTTATTGTTATTATTCATTATACAGGGTGTCCCAGAAATAAGTGCAAGTATTTTAATGGGTGGTAGATCTCGATAAAAGATACATTTATTTCTTTAACGTTTTTCAAATAAGTCGAAAATAACGGAGTTATTTTACTTTAGAAATTTCCAAAACAAAAATGATTTTTTGCTAAAATTTTGAGAACCATTGGATCTTTTCTGGATTTTCTTTCTTGTAAATTTAATCTAATACCTACGTTGCCATATTATCAAGAAATAGTGATTTTTAACTAACAACTAAAAAAATTTCCAAAAATTTGTTCAAAAAATTTCAAATTTTCAAAATTTTTGCAAAAACGTTTGAATAATACGCGTCGCTCGCACCGCCCGAATCGCGCGATTTTGTCACCCAAGTAGGACGAAGCGTTTAGTAAAATCAAAAATTATAGGGAGAATGAACCGAACGTGGGCAGAAGTTATATTGAAATTGTATAAACTTTATTACAATGCTGATCAGTTGTTCAGCTTTCAAGTGTAAAAGCCGCGACGATAAGAAAAAAACCAGGAATTTCGTTTTTATAGAGAAATAAACAGTCCGCTCCACCTTTTTAGCGTTTTCTTAGTTTTCTTATTGAATGCGATAATTATTTTTCTGATAATATACTTGATGTGTGCTATACGTCGATACTAGTTTTGTACCTTTTATTAATATTTTAATACGTATTTTCGTAATAAATTAGTATGATAAAGGTATGATACCACCACGGCATATAAATCACACGGCAGGCCAACTCGCTTTGGCGGGAACGCTACGCGCATACCCTTGCGCACGCCGCCAGAAATTAACCAGTGTCGTAGTCAGTCGTAGTCTTTGTCATCGACAACGTACAGTCAAAGAGTAGATAAGACAAGAGACGACAGTGAACAAAGAAGTCGAATTTCGCGAGAGAGACGCAGATATGTTAAAATTTAAAGGTCCCATCAAGTCCCATTTTGTCTGTTGCCAAGTATATTTTTTTGAAAAATAAACAAGATTTTCTGAAAATAAATTAATAATATAAGAAGGATATAAGTAACGTATATTAATACGGAAATGTAAATTTTTAGTTTAGGTTGGTTTAGGTTCTTTTTTCGCAATGTACTGATAATATCAAAGAAACAGAATGACTAATAAGTTGATCGATTTCAAAGATAAACAGATAAAATCTCAAAATCTGACAACGGCGTATTTTATCTAATCTAAAATCTAACCTATGATCACAGATAACACATAATTGAATGAATGTTTATATGTGTGTGAATTATGTGTTATCTGTGCTATGATTTTAGGACGCTAATCAGCTGTGCTAATCAGGCTTAAACATAAACAAATCTGATTAGTTGTTTTCTTGCATTTTTGCCTTTTTAAAGTGTGTTTTCAGAGTTTTTCGATATCTTATCGTTTTGAGAGTTTTTAAGGTTTAATTTTAGTATCGTTTTTGTTGCGTTCTAATTTGTAATTATTGTTAAATATGAATACTGAACAGGACACGAGTAGCAGGAAAAGACGAGATGGTGGCATTGTGTGTGCTTATAAAGACTGCAAAAATAGGTCTTGTTCTTCGACAAACATAATATTTCACTCTTTTCCAAAGGATCCTGAAAAGTATTTTTATAGAAATATACTATATAATTATGTTATTAAACTAAATGTAATCCATAGATCGAAGACATGGTTAGAAGCTTGTAATTGCGAGGATTTATTAAATAAAAATTGAGCAACTCTATTTTTTTGTACATAAACTCCACATTGTGATATTACACTTGTTCAAGTCCATATGTAAAAAAAATACACGTAAATAAAACATTTCTTACAAATCGACTTGGTCACTTTCTCTTGTTTACCAACGATATACAAAATATTGCTTTTATTATCTTTATTCCCCGACAAATATGTTTCTAATTATAATTTATTTTATATAATATTTAGAAAACTCATTTTTTTTTCGTTTCTATTTATTTCTTTACCCATACAGTAACTATTTATAAGCTATACAGGCAAGTTTTAATAATAGTCTATTTTAAATTTCCCGCAAAAAAATTACGAAAATTTAAAGGGACAAGCGAGACGAGGTCACTCTCCCCACCACTCAAACATGAAAGGTACCGCGCGAACTGTCGTCTCTTGTCTTATCTACTCTTTGGTACAGTTACGGCAGCTTTGAGTCAGTAGCGTGCGGCTTAATTTATTTTATTCTTTTCTTGAGTGATATATTTTGTTTTATTTTTGTTTATTGTGTGATATATTTGGTTTTTGTAGTTTAGTAGTATAATGGAAGTCCGAAATTCTTTTAGTTTTAATACTCAGTCATTGTCTACGGCATTCAAAGTAATTTTTATTATTAGGTATCCTGCAAAATGATAAACAAGATTAATTTCTAAATTACTGTTTTTCTGATTATCCGTATCTATTTTTAATTTTTATGGATAGCTCATGACAATTCAGAGAGAAAAGAAAAGAAGTCTCGTTTTTTTTTTAATTATTAAGGTCTGCCGTTTTTAATAAGATGTTTGCCAGATCATTTTGGCAATTTTCAGTACCCGTATGTAATATTCGGACACAAAGTTTTTAAATGTTCTTCTAAACTGGATGAATTTATCCTGGATAGGAATAATGACAGGTTTACAATATATTGGAATTAGAAGAATTACTAGATAACTAATTACAAGATAAAGTTGTACCAGATTTTTATGAGTGCAACTGTACACTCAAATCGCTTGTCGCTAAGCTTTTATATAATACCTATAAAATTGTGTAATGACATAATAAAAGTTTTAAAGAAAAAGTTTATTTTTTCTTTTTAATGTATTTAAATAAAAGCTTGTTTTTAAAAAGTTTTTTTTCTTAAATTTATTTTTTACTTTTTAAGTTATGCTGGTTTCTGTGCCACACACTCAATTCTTTTTCTTAAATAACTACCTATGGGCATCCTAATAATATGTGTATCGATTTTCATAAAAAAGGAGAACTTAAAAAAACGACAGCTGTCAAATTTGACAGTTCAATTGTGAGACAAATAAAATGAAAACCGACTATGGGGTAGGGAGCATCCAATATATCGATTTTTATCAAAATCGGACAACTTTGAGATTTTTTTGACAGCTGTCAAATTTGACAGCTCAATTTTTTTTCTTTCCTTTTAACCCATGG